TAGTTTTGGTTCTTATTCGGTTCTTGGTCTAGACCCGAGACCCGACCAAAACCCATCGGTTCTCGATTCGGGTACCCGTTCGGGTATTTAATTTATGAAGAACCGTTCGATTCGGTTCGGGACTTTTGGACACCCTTAGATCCCAGTAAGAAGCAGAAGAGTGAAGGTACAACGTCTTCTAAGGAGAGTACAACCACCAATCAGCAACCATGGCAATGGCAGAGCCTAGTGGAAAATCTTTAGTTGGCTCACCAAGAGCTCTCTGTCATCATCGATCTCATAATAGTGTAAGTTATTTTGCTTCTCTTCATTTGTATGTGATTAGCAATTTCTCTCTCTGTGCTTGTTTTTTTAGCTTTCAAATAGTATCACCTTGTATTTTACTTCTTATGGTATTTTCTCATTATCTGATTTTTTGAGGTATTTATGAAGAAATCTTATTAAGAGGAAAATTGGGTTTGACTTGGATTTTGAATTCAGTTTAGTTTGGTTTTTACGTTGAAGCATGTTTTAGCAAGTTTCTTGATGCGGACCACAAGAGGATTCAGCAATGAAGGACTATTATTTAGCCCATGTTTGGGCGCCATTTTTTGGCATTGCATTTCTTTTTCTCACTTTTCAAGATACGTGCTGTCAGTAAGCAATTCAAACACTCCACCGTCTCTGTCAAAGGTACGCAATACCATTATTACCGTTGGAAATTGAATGACAAAAATACCCTTATCTCATTTTCATATTTCCACGAATGTCCTTACACTGGTAATAACTGAGTTCAATATTGGCAAAAAGGTGGGGGGGCAATATTGACATTTGTGCTTAAATGGAAAGGATTAAAAAATTGAGAATGAATGTACATCCTGCAGAAACGAGTACAAATTTGATAAGAATGTGTCAATAGGTCCCGCTAGCCCACACTTTTTGACCATGGAAAATGAAATTTAATGAAAATAAATGGCGCCCAATCAGGGGCTTAGTTTCAAACTTTTTAGAGAGACGTGGACCTGAATCATCTCAGGTTTAGGTTATTCTAAATATGTCGTATCTTTGAATTATCTTCCAAGTATTTCAAGGTCATGGATGATTCGGCATTTGGGTTCTATAAAGGTAACATTCGAGCTTTGACAATTTAAGTTACTGGAAATGACATTTATTGTCGATGTATTACCACGACTTGAAGGTTTGCAGAACTCCGTATGTCCAGACTGTCCAGTTGATATCTCACCCCACTTGGCATTCTCGGACGTCTTCATGGACTCTATCATTGAAGTTCCTCAGTCAATTCTTCACGCTGGAAGCCAAATTCAATCATCTGGCACTAGCAATGTGAAGAATGTAAAATCTCAGTTTTGGACTAAGGTGGTGGTGATTGATGAATCTATTATTGTGGAAGGGGAAGGTAATCATAACGTTGTTGGCCTATTTAATGGAAAGGCCGAGAGCACTTGTCCTATTAACAGATACGAATGTGACTTGGCAGGTCTTCCTATAATACTCCTGCAGCAGGTAAGCTTTGAATCGCACACTTTTCCTGAGTGATTTATATGAAGGTGTATCGTTGCATATGCAATAACTCTATTCATATCTTAACTAACTAGTCACATCCTTTATGCTTCTTGTGCACTTTGTAGGAGATGCATGGATCACTATGTGACATTAATGATTAATTGATTATATTTTGTTTTATTTAGCTGTATAAGTCACCTTTTTCAATTTTTTTTTTTTGGACTTAGATAACATTAGTTTATGTATTTTATTATTGGATACATAAGGATTTTATATGAATGATCTTGAAACAGGCTTTCTGCTACCGTACTTTTGTTACAATAAGTGGATTAGTCCTTCATCGCGCTAAAGGATTTCTAAGAAAGAAGAAAATGGAAAAGAAAAAAAAATAAAGAAAGAAAGTAAAACTAAAAAAATAATTGGTAAGAATGGCATATTCTTGTCATTTCTGCCATTTGAGTAGATTGGGCTGATGGATACTCCGAAAGGTCCAATCTTGGGAAAAAATTAAATAAAAAAAATTCGAAACTACATGTATCAACATTTTTGTTGGGTTTATGAAATGCATAACTTCTTTATGCAACTAACTGAACTTATTATAGTTAATGTTATATGGACATTGCTTTAATTACTGTTGTCATAAATTATACTGTAGTTTGCTAGTCAAGTTATTCATTGGCTTCATGAGGAAGCCCTCAGCGTCGGTATTAAAGTGAATAGAGACTTCTTATCGTTGGCATTTGAACTGGACCATGGTGAAATAGCTAGTCTGGTGGTTCATGTAGACCCTGAAGATACCATGGGATGCATCTCATGGTGGTTGATGATAGATGATGGATTAACCGAGGATCTCAAACTTCATCCAGGCCTCTCAAGTGGTGAATCTGAAAGCAGGAAATTTTTAGGTCATTTATCTCTGGACTTGTTGTACTCTACTCTATTGGATTTTGTGAACTTGTGTAGCTGTTAA